AGAAAGAAAAACAGGAGAAAAAAGAAGATAAAATAGAAGAAAAAAAGAAATGGAAGGGAGAAAAAAAAGTAAAGAAAGTGAAAAGGAAAAAGAAGAAAAAGAGAAAAAAAAAGAAAAAGAGAAAAATAAAAGAAAAGAAAGAGGAAAAAGTAAAAAATAAGAAAAAAAGAAATACAAAAAGCAGAAGGGAAAAAAGAAAAAAAAAAAAAAAGGAAAAAGAGAAAAAAGAAAAAAGAAAAAAAAAAGAAGAAAACAAAAAAAGGAAAAAAGAAAAAGAAAAGAAAAAGAAGAAAAGAAAAGGGGGGGGGGGGGGGGAGGGCATGGGGGCGGGGAGGGGCAGGCGCCTTGTCGGCCCCCGGGTCCTCCATGCGCCGCACCGAGTCGAGGAAGGGGCCGGTGGCGAGGACGATCGCCTTTGCCTTCACCACGAACTGCTCGCCTAACCTCGGGCGAGCCTCGGCTGAGCCTCGGCTGAAGCTTGGCTGAACCTCGGCTGCACTTCGATCGCCTCTCGGCTGAACCTCGGCTGCACCTCGGCCGCCTCTCGGCTGCACCTCGGCCGCCTCTCGGCTGTCTCTCGCTGCCTCTCGGCCGCCTCTCGGCTCTCTCTCGGCCGCCTCTCGGCTGTCTCTCGGCGGTCTCTCGGCGGTCTCTCGGCGGTCTCTCGGCGGTCTCTCGGCGGTCTCTCGGCGGTCTCTCGGCTCTCTCTCACCCGTCAGCTTGTCAACACACGTCACGCCGGTCGCCGTCGCGCCGTCCGGACCGCCGTGCACGAACCCTAAAAAAGAAAAACACACGCCTCAAAGAAAGCAAACCGAGGGGCGCCGCGTGCCGCCGTGCACGACTCCTAAAAAGGGAAAACAACACGCCCCCCGTGAAAAAGAAAGAAAGGCGCCGGCGGCGCCGCCGTGCCGCCGGTGCGCGGCGCCCGTCATCTCGACATAGTTTGCAATTGTCGCGCCCTTCATCGCCGCGGTGAGCGCGATGGCGGTGCCTGTTCACAGCCGAAGGTGTGAAGAGACGCTGTCCACAGCTTCATCGCCGCGGTGAGCGCGATGGCGGTGCCTGTTCACAGCCGAAGGTGTGAAGAGACGCTGTTCACAGCTTCATCGCCGCGGTGAGCGCGATGGCGGTGCCGGTGCGGGCGTCGTTGTGCATCGCCTCGCAGTAGACCGCCGAGTAGAGCGGCGCCTAGTCTCGGCCAATCTCGGCCGATCTCGGGTGATCTCGGCCGATCTCGGGTGATCTCGGGTGATCTCGGGTGATCTCGGGTGATCTCGGGTGATCTCGGCCGATCTCGGCCGATCTCGGCCCATCTCGGCCCATCTCGGGTCATCTCGGGTCATCTCGGGTCATCTCGGGTCATCTCGGGTCATCTCGGGTCATCTCGGGTCATCTCGGGTCATCTCGTGTCATCTCGGGCGATCTCGGGCAATCTCGGGTCATCTCGGGTCATCTCGGGTCATCTCGGGCCATCTCGGGTCATCTCGGGTCATCTCGGGTCATCTCGGGTCATCTCGGGTCATCTCGGGTCATCTCGGGTCATCTCGGGTCATCTCGTGTCATCTCGGGCGATCTCGGGCCATCTCGGGTGATCTCGGCCGATCTCGGCCGATCGGGGCCTCGAGCTGCGGGAAGTTCTTCTTTGTCTCGCGCGCAGACATGACGTAGGCGGGCGGCGCCTGTTCACAGCAGGCGGTGTGAAGAGAAGCTGTTCACAGCCCGACGGCGCAGACATGACGCAGGCGGGCGGCGCGTTGAAGCCTACGGACATGTCTCGGACATGTCTCGGACATGTCTCGGACATGACGCGGGCGGGGCGGCGCGGTGATGCCGGCGAGCAGGTCGTAGAAGACAAAGGCGGGGTAGGCGAGGATTGGAAGGATGGAGTAGAAGGGGTGGTTGAAGTACGGCGGCCACTGGACCAGTGTCTTGAAGGGCACCGCCTAGTGTGAGGGTCAGGGTGAGGGTGAGGGTGAGGGTGAGGGTGAGGGTCAGGGTTAGGGTTAGGGTTAGGGTTAGGGTTGGGGCCTGCGGTACTCGACGAGGTCGACATAATACTCATAACAGTCCTAGGAGTCATAGTCGTGGGAATCCCATCCCTCCTCGAAGAGGCGGACGTGAGATCCTCGCCATCAGGGTGACACTAGTCATGATCTGAATCATAGGAAGAGGAGTCATGAGAAGAAGAAGACTGCACGCGGCAGACTCGAGGAGGTGGAAGTACTAGTCATACTCCTCATCGTAGTACTCGCAACAGTACTGCCTGCGGCACGTACTCGACGAGATGCGGCTGCTGCCCCGCGAGCCACGACCGCTCCTGGCAGCACTCGTACACCATCAGGAACTCGGAGATGAACTTCTGCAGCGACGAGACGGGCGCCTAGGAAGGTTCAGAGAAGGTTCAGGGAAGGCTCCCGGAACTCGGAGAGGAGCTTCTGCAGCGACGAGACGGGCGCCGTGAGCGTCTTGCGGTCCAGCAGCTCGGCGAACGCCACCTGCCAGTGCTCTCCCGCTGTGAGGTTGTGCGAGCTCGGTGTCCTGGCATTGCCAACACACCGGCCTAAGACCTGGAGGTACTTGAAGCCGCCCCAGATCAGCTTTGAGCTGCGGCTCGACGTCTCGTTCGCAAAGTCGCCCCGCTCGACGCACGCCTAGGAAGCTTCAGAGAAGGTTCAGGGAAGGTTCAGTCGCCCCGCTCGACGCACGGCTGGCAGGGAGTGCGGCTGTGGATATGGGCAGTGGCGGCTGTGGCGGGTAGCGTGGCAGCAGTGTCGAGCGCGAATCCAGCCCCTCACGGCGGCATCCCCTCACCGTCTTGAGGCCGCGCGTCGCCGCATCGAGCGCAGCGCCGGCGCCGGTGCAGCCCGCGCCGACGATCAGGACGTCAAACTCCTCGCCCGACTTGAGCGCCGCCACCATCTCACTCCGTTTCCGGAGGCTCTGCGGATCCTGGCCTCTGTCGACGAGCGACTGAAAACGTTGGATCTTCCGCTTGAGCGGCGTGCCGGCGAAATCATTCTCCTCCGGCTTCCTGAGGAGGACGGAGCCGACGACGCCGCCGACCACGAGGCCGGCTGCTCCCCGCAGCGGCGTTAGCCGCGGCAGCACCATGCAGGGGCTGTGGCACCGTGATCAGCACGTTGTCGGCGGTGACACAGAACCTTGGAGAATCGTGCAAAAAATTTGTTGCGCAAAACACAGACAAAGTGGGGTGGGGGGGGTGGTGGCGGCGTGCCGTCCTCCCATCCCTCCCTTGGGGTGTGCGCTTTCTTTCTTTCTTTTGGGGGCAAGGGGAGGCGACCCTCGCATTTGGGGCCCTCGGGCCCGCGTCGTCTTCTGTCTCGCGTCCACCCATACCGCGTTGGTGTCCAGTCCGAGCCTGACTGTCCTTCGCCTTTCTATCTCATCTAAGCCCGCTGGGTGCGCTATTTAGCTCCGGCACATTGTGTGGGAGCACTCGGAGTGCAGTCACATCAGCCTCACTCACACCCAGGGCCCCACACAGCTCACAGGCACCGTGGGGAACTCCAAGTGCTTCTTGCGTCCTGTGCCAGCGAGTGAATTTTGTGAAAGAAACAAACCGCGGGCTGACACGCACTCTCTTGTCGTCTTCTCTTCCTCTCTCGCGGCGCACACATGGACATGCTCATGTTGAGACGCACCGGTGCCGGTCGTCTCTAGAGTACGGAAGAGCAGAAGTGCGGGCCGTCGCCTCCACATCTCTACCCTCCACGGGTGCGCAGCGGCGACCGGTCGCCCCGCGACTGGCCGTGGCGTTGCAGCAGCATCGGCCGCACCTCGCCTGGCGGGCGCGTCGCGCAGACTCCCCCTGTGTGTCTGCCTCAGCCGAGCACCTTGCCCGCGAGATAGCCCACGCCGGCGCCCACGAGCGCGCCCTTCCGCGCAGGCGAGAGAAGGCCGCACGCTGCGGGTTGGGCGCCCTCGCCGGCGGCGTTCATCGTGCAGACGGCGTTCCGGTCCGTGTAGATGGCGGCAAAGGCGGAGCAGAGCGCCTTGGAGCCGACGGCACCGAGCGGCTTCTGGTTGACCGAGACGGACAGCTTCGAGCCGCCCGTCGCAAACTCGAGCTCCGTCCCCTTGGGAGCGCCGTTCGGCAGGCCGCTCAGCAAGCACGTCTCAAACTCCTCAATCTGCTTCGCGTCCTTGCAGCGCGGCTTGAGCGCATCGGCGAGAGCGGACGCCATCTTCTGTGCGCCGACGCCGTACGACATCCGCAGGAGAAACGTGCCAGAGTCGTATTCACCGACCGCGTACACCTTGATCGGGCCCTTGGTCCGCACGCCGAGCCTCGAGAGAGAGCCACCCTTGTGCTTGTCAGGGAAGCTGATGCCGGTGCGCGGCTCGACCGAGGCGTGGACCGCGGCGAAGCAGGCGAGCAGAGCCTACGGGATGGAGCGAGGGGCGTTATGGCGACAGTGTCTGCCGGCGCGGGTGTGTGTCGCCACCCGGAGAGCGCCAGACCGTCGCGAGCTTGGACATTTTCGTTATTCTCAAAAGAAAAAAACATGAACGGCGCTCTCCAAAAGAAATCAACGGGGTGGGGGGGGGGGGGGAGCAAAAGGGAACGCCGTCATGTGCGCCTGTACCGTGCACGCTGCCGTAGCGGCACAACTGTCCCGACTGAGGGCTGCTCAGGCGGGAAGCCCAATGGATGAGGAGTCCCTTCTGCACTAGTTGGGTCAGGCGGGAGATGAGCGCCGTGCTGCCCACCGTCGGCAGTGCCAGCTATCATGCCCGCACTGTCCGCCGACCGCCGCCACGAGAGCGATTGCTCTAGCTCCGCAGCGATCGTGTGCCGGTCCGGCTGGACCGAGAGGTGGGTAGCAGGAGTTAAAGGTACATTAGAACAGGAGTTCGGTAAGAGGAAAAGGGCTCCCTAACTCAAGCTACCTTACCTTGAGTTCGGTACCCTACGGTATCAATGAAGCCGTCGTCATTCTGGTCCTCTCCAAACTTGCCGCGGGTGAGGTAGCACAGCGACGTCTCCGCCGCGGCCAGCTCATTGCGCCGCTTCTTCCCGCCACGAGCCGCTCAGGGTCGGCGAAGCGCATGCCAATCACCTCCTTGATCTCGAAGCAGTATGTCGGCACGACCGCGTCGTCTCCTCCGCCGTCGGCGAGGCGCAAAGCGCTCCGCCGTGGCCGCCTTCTGGCATTTGCAGCGGGGGTACACATGGTGCGGCGCGCGTACTTGAGCACACCGTGGTTGGTGCAGTTGGCGCACGTGCCTGTGGGATAGGGCGCCATGGCGACGCACGCGCTCCGGGTATTTTTCGGGTATACCTGAAAACTCTCGGGTATACCCGGGTTGGCGGGTTTTACCCGGCGCGCCGGCCACCTGGGTCGGTCCGAGGGTGTCCCAGGAATGATCAGAATGGCAAGGGCCAGAGGCCGATTTTCGCGGTCAGAAAAACTCCTCTTTCCGGGGGAGACACCGGGAAGTAACCACCACATTTGTGGGGGGTCGTGAACTCGTCGTTTTATGTGAACGGCGTCCCAGTACTGACTTCTGACCGTCGTCTGTCGTTGTTTGTGGTGTGTGTTGCTGGCCGCCGATCAGCTCGCTCCTCTCGCCGAGGACAGCACTAGCTCGAGCGCCCCCTCCACGGCGGAGCAGGTTCTTGCACCAATGACGGTCAACACTCCAAAGACGATCGCGCTCCTGTCTTCCCTCGCCGCCGTTCGCTCCACACCCTGCGAGCTGCCTGGCAACGCCGAGTTCGTGTCGACCAAAACGGGCCTTCGCATGGCAGTACGCAGGGGGGGCGACATTGTCTCCGACACTATTAGGAAGACTGGCGTTTGGGAGGTGCACCCGTGGAAGGCGCTTGAGCCGTTCATGTCGCCGCAGACTGTGTTCGTGGACATCGGCGCGAACATCGGCTGGCACACACTCAACCTCGCGCGCCGAGGCCACGACGTGGTCGCCTTCGAGCCGTTCGCCTCCAACATTGCCATGCTCAACGCGTCGCTGTGCGCCAACCCGTCGCTGGTGAACCGCACGCTTGTGAAGGCGCACGGGCTTTCGAACAGCGCTGCGCGCTGCGACCTCTTTCAAATACCGTCGATTAACTTTGGCGATACCGTCAGCGTATGCGACGGCGGCAGCTACGTGCAGCAGAAAGAGGCCGTGCAGAAGCAGCTGAGCAACTCATGCCGTCGCCACTGCCACCGTCGTGCTGACGGTTGCGCAGGCTGTGCGTCTGTGCAGAAGCTCGGCGAGTTCCGGGCGTACCAGCTGGACGACGTTGTCGACGAGTCTCTCCTGAGGGCGGAGAAGGCGGTGAAAATGGACGTCGAGGGACACGAGTACAAGGTACTCCTCGGAGCGGAGCGCTTCTTCACGCAAGGCAACCCGCCGCGCGCGGTGTACGCGGAAGTGTTCCAGCTCGGCGCCCACCGCTCGTCCTTTTTCGCGAAGCTCAAGGAGTGGGGCTACGACACAATGGCGCGAGCGAAAGACAGGGAGGCGCTATTTGTGCGTGCTGTGGGGGCCGTCAGCAGCCAGAAGGCACTGACAGCCAATCGCGCTCATGGCGTGGCGCACGCGCGTCGCAAGGTCAGGTGGGCGTGCCAATTCAGTGCTCTCTTCGCATGCTGAGTGTGTTGATGTCGTCTGGGCTTTGCGCACAGCATTGAGCTATATCAGCCCGAGGACGTCAGCTCGCGCGCTTCACCCTGCTCTCGCCGCTCCTCTGGCGCGACCATCCTTTTCGTAGAGAGCGTGTCGGGGCGCCCGCGCCCTCGCACGCACAGTCGGGAGGCCGAGGCGAAGTCGTGTCGGGTATCGCGGCAGTTTTTTATTCTGAGCGTCGTGTGTGTGGGTCGGCCTCGTCTTTCTCTTGTTGTGGATTGTGCATGTAAAGGGTGTGGATGCTGGGTTGACGGAAATCGGGGGACGCGACCCACTTCGCCACAGACGGTCCCGCGCCTCGCCGCTAAGTTTGCGGCACGCCCCGCACCGTCCGCTGTGCCGCGTTTTTTGTCCGGAGTGAAAAGTCCAACGCCAACGCGCTCGTCGGTGGCGGCTTCCCCCAACCTCCGCCGCGCTCGGCGAACCTCGACAGCGCCTTCGGTGGCATGCAGCTCTTTGCGCCTGAAGCTTGGAGAGCAGCTCCTCTGCTGCTCACACACTCTGCACAGTTGACACAGCCTACTGTGCGGCTGCCACAGCTGTGAGAGCGATGGGCTCGCCCTCACTGGCCCTCAGTCACTTGTGTGCTGCAGCTTGTGTGAGCGACACTGCTCGGCGACTGCCGGCACACTGTGAGACCATGGGTGTGAGGTAAAACCACGCTACCAGCGCTTGGTCACATCGGCCCCGAGGTCAGATCCATCTACTCTGTTGATGACAAGACTTGTCTACCGGCTGGAGCCGAGCAGGAGGGCCCGGCGCACAACCCCCTGGTCAACTCACCCTCCACACCCCGTACACGAACGACGTTTGCTGGCGCCGGCACAATGTGCTCTGGGGTACTTCCACCCTCCGGCGGCAAAGCGGCTGGCGAGGGCATAGGGTCCTCGGCCCAAGCGGCGGGGCAGGGGCGGCTCAGGATCACAGACACCCCTCTCAGGATCACAGCACCGGCGGGGGCGCGCCTCAGGATCAAGCACCCACGGCAGGGTCTGTGAGGATCAGCAGACCTGGAGGGGGCACGCTGAGGATCATACTTCATAGGCCTGAGAGGGATGCTTTCAAGAGCACAGGGCTGCAAAGGGTGGCACTCGAGATCAGAGCGCCAAAATAGGCGCGCGGGAGATCAGCGGCCGGAAGTGGGCGCAATACAGATCACGAGCGCCGGAACGGGTGCAATATAGATCATGAGGTTTTGTGGTCTGTGCGCGGACGGCCCGGGGAGCCTGCGGCGCTATTTTAACCTGCCCCGACAGAGTCTCTCGATACGGCGCGTGGCGGCGCCGCACCCAGCAAGCTGGGGCCGCTCCTTACGGACTCGTCGCTGCGCTCCTCAAGGCAAACACGGAGCGCGCTGCGCGCGCGGTCTACGCCGAATACTGCGGCCGCCGTCACGACTGCCATCCTCGGCGGCGCCGAGCGCGCGAGCGGCGCCGATGGCGAACCCGGCGCCACCTCCCGAGCGCTGATCTCCAGAGCGCTGATCTCCCGCGCGCCTATTTTGGCGCTCTGATCTCGAGTGCCACCCTTTGCAGCCCTGTGATCTTGACAGCATCCCTCTCGGGCCTATGATCCTCAGCGCCTCTTCAAACCGGCTCTGAACCTATGCGTGCCCCCTCCAGGTCTGCTGATCCCCACAGACCCTGCCGTGGGTGCTTGATCCTGAGAGGGGTGTTTGTGATCCTGAGAGAGGCTTATCTGCCAAGGCGCAAGGGGCAGGAAGCGTGGAAGCGGCTGCTATGGGCATTACTCTCGAGTCAGCGCCCTCGTATCGAGTACAGCTGTGTGTTGTTGTTCTGTGTGTATGCACGCGCCGCGCACACGCACGAAAACGGAGAAAGCGGTCCCCATTTCTTTGAGAGTTTGTTTTGTGTGCCTTCGTTGTTAATAATTGTTGTTCAAACGGATGGTCACTTGCTAGGTCACTTGTTTGTCGCAGTCACACGCACGCACACAGTGTTTCACACACCCACCGCACGCCGCGCCCGCACGCCCACCGCCCCGCCTAGGCCGGACATGGGAAACTTTTTTCTTTTTCAGAGATGTTGACTCGGTTTCAGTCTCCTCAGCTCTGAGGAGCCCCCAAAAGAGCAGAAAATGCAAAAAAGATGCAACTCCCCAAAGTCGATCACCTCTCGAGAGAGCCCTTGCCGCTCCTGCATCTTCTGCGTTTCGGCCCGCCCACGTCCGACACACGGCGTGCGAATGCTCGCGCTGATCGCCATCATGACGGTCGGAATAGAGCTTCGTGATGCCAACGCGACACCTACAACGATTGCTGTCAGTAACGTCAACATGACGGATGCAAGCGCAAACGCCATTCTCGAGTACGACACAGTGGCTCACATCTTCAAGCAGGCGCGTCAGCTCTTAACTCTCGTCCCCGATGTAGCTCTCTGCACCCGTAAGCTCGCGATTAGGTCGAAACCGCCGTCCTTTCTAACAAATCTCGCGAGTGGCCACCAGCGCTCGTGAGGCGCTTGCTCTTCGAGCACTGGAACCACATCAAGAAACCGAGCTCGAGGATGATCGTCCCCGGCAAGTGCCAGCGACTCGTCGAGCAGAAGCTTGCCGCACTGAAAAAAGCACAAGCGTAGTGCTGTGTGCGCGTTTCGAATCAGGCTCATATCTCTCAATCTCGCTGTAGGCGCTCGCGCCTGACATCTTCAACATCTATTAAGGGCGAGATGCGTCCGAGACGAGCGCGCTTCAGGGTGCTATTCGCGAGGCAATGAAGAGCATCCGCGAGTCGGACCCGACCGCCATCGCCTCTCCCGGCATTGCAAAGGCACCGCCGTGCACATTCGCTCACAACTCACCCTGTCGGCTCTGCAAGTCCCACATCTCCAACGTGTCAAGAAGTCAATGTACCGAGAATCAACAACAAATCAACAACAACTCATCAACAATCGAGGAAGTAGCCGCTCTTCATGCGGTACCTGCCTCTCGAGCAGTAGCTCGTGTCATCTACTCAGTTTCTTCTCGTGCAGTAGCTCATTCGAGCTATTTCACCTCACCCAACGACTAAACAATTAAATTCCGTCTCGAGCGGAGAGGTTTCGGGATGCGCTCCGAACGACGGGTCCGTCTGGCAGGCGGCCTCGCTCGCGTCCCAGGTGACGTCGCTGGGGAGGGCGGCCCGAGTGCGGCCTCCCGCCTTGACGTTAACGCAGGTATGGGTGGACGCTAGACAGATGATGACGACACGCACGAGCGACACACAGACACAAACAGGCTGACAAGACAGAGAATTAGTTCAACTGTGAACGGGGACTCCTGCGGGACTTCCAATCTCGGCGAGAGTGTCCTCAATTGCCTGCGATGTCCCTCACCTCGTTTATCGCGCCGGCGGGTCGCGCCGGCGGGTCCTGCGTTAACGTCAAGACGGGAGGCCGCACTCGGGCCGCCCTCCCCAGCGACGTCACCTGGGACGCGAGCGAGGCCGCCTGCCAGGAGCAGTGCCTCGGGCTGAAGTGGTGCACTGGATACGAATACCAGATCTTTACCCGACCGCGCGGCCGCACGCGCTGCATCCTGCAGCGGCTCCCCATCAAGCAGGCCGTGCCGGCGACCGCCTTTGACGCCGTCTGCAAGATAAAGGTGAGAAACGTCCGGCTGCCCGCTGCCTCCCCACCGCCGCCGCCACCCCTGCCCTTCGCCCTGCCGCAAGGCGTGTGGTGGGCGCCACCGCCATCGCCTTTACCGCCACCCGCGCAGCCGCCGCCGCCCTCTCCGCCGCCGCCGCCCTCTCGGCCGCCGCCGCCGCCGCGCCCGCCCACTCCGCCTCCTCGCCCTCCGAGTCCGCCTCCCAGCCCTCCACTGCCGTGGGCGCCACCGCCATCGCCTTTACCGCCACCCGCGCAGCCGCCGCCGCCCTCTCCGCCGCCGCCGCCCTCTCGGCCGCCGCCGCCGCCGCGCCCGCCCACTCCGCCTCCTCGCCCTCCGAGTCCGCCTCCCAGCCCTCCACTGCCGTGCAGCGTGGTGCCGCGGGCGAGGTGCGGCGGCGCCCTCGCCTGCTACAAGGACGAGGCATGCTACACGCCGTGGAGAGACGCGCATAAAGGCCTGGGATGCAACGCCGGGGGAGTCCATCCCGCCTGCCGCTACTGCGGCGGCAGAGATGTGCCACCGTGCCCAGAAGAGCCACCGCCCTCGGCGCCGCCGCCGCCGCTGCTGCCGCCGCCTCCTCTTCCGCCGCCGCCGCCGCCGCCCTCGCCGCCCTCGCCCTCACCGCCCCCACCGTCACCGCCACCCGCGCGCCCGCCGCCGCCCTCGCCGCCGCCACCTTCACCGCCGCCCCCGTCACCGCCCCCCTCTCCGCCCCCGTCGTCGCCACCGCCGTCTCCACCGCCGCCCTCGCCGCCCCCCTCGCCGCCCCCGCCGCCCCCGTCGCCCCCCTCGCCGCCCCCGTCGCCCCCCCCCTCTCCGCCGCCGTCGTCGCCACCGCCGCCGCCGCCGCCGTCGCCGCCCCCCTCACTCCCCCCCTCACCGCCGCCGTCGGCGCCCCCCTTACCGCCGTCGC